GAGAGAGGTGGATAGGAGGAGGTACCGACCGTGGAGATGACAGACATTGAGGGACAGGAGAACCAAGGAACCAAGAAGCACCATGGACCAGAACGACGTTGCAGCACCCAGAAAGGCTTTGGAACCTCAAAGCAACACCAATTTGAACACCGCAGCTCATTTTCAATCGTGGATGGATTTGAGGATTTTGAAGAGTTTGTCTTGGATTTTGATGATTATGACTTGCTTGAGTCAATCCACAGCCAGCTGGGGTCACCCCTCGAGCCTATCCGTAAGTTGGCCGTATTTTCCATGGAGGTTCACCACTCCTGAGTAGGATTTCATCTGTTTAAATGATTGATATTTGACAGCAGTGACAGTTACGTCATGCTTCCGAAACACATTAGGGAATTCACATGGGCAAGCATTTTATTCTATTTTTACATGATTAATCAATGGAAGGGAGCTCACTTGTTTCCATTGATCGTTTAGCCTGCTGCTAGCTTCATTATTGGCAGTAGAGGCTCATTCATGGCCACACACTGAACAGTGTTGTCCACGGTATTGACTGAATTGACACAGTGCTCGACTGCTGCTGTTTCCTACTCTTCCATTGATCCAGTGGCACCTATTTGGCTTTGGGCTCATCCACAGCTAGAGCGGAAAGACATTTCATTGACAAACCATGAGTGGTTCTGCTTTTTTAATCCCTGTGTTGGCTTTGAAACATGGCGTATTAGTGCTGTCATGATGCTCCACCACATGGATGAGAAATTTTGGGATGAGCCTGAGTATAGGATATAAGTTAAAGTTAAAACCTTAATTAGAATAGAATAGAATAGAATTCAACTTTATTGTCATTGCACATGTCACAGGTATAAGGCAACGGATTGCAGTTTGCATCCATCCAGAAGTGCTTTAGCCATGATATAGATATATTACAATATATATTAGCACTAATATAGATATGTAAGTGTATTACAGAAATGGGTCTATTATGGTATGTTATAATGTACACGATATGAAGGTATGTTATAAATATGCTATAACTATAAGTATGTACAGGCTGTAGTGAGTACAAGCTATGAACAGGATATAAATATGAAAAACTATACAGAAATATTAGACATACAGCTATACAGAAATGGGAACTATGCAGGTTATAAACAGTTGTAGAATTAAAAATTATTGTATTATACAGAATGATTATTTACACAGAATTATACAGTAGTGCAGTTAAGATAAGTGAGATATGTGGATAATTTCTACAAAGGCTATATAAAGTGCTAGTGGTTGTGAGTGGTGGTTCAGTCCATGTTATTATTGTGTGTATGAAGGTACAGTTGTCCATTTTGTGTGTGTGTGTGTGTGTGTGTGTGTGTGTGTCCAGTCCATGTGTTAACGTGGGTCAGATGTCAGGAGGCAGAGTTCAGGAGTCTGACAGCTGTGGGGAAGAAGCTGTTCCGCTACCTGGTGGTCTTAGTCCGGAGGCTCCTGTAGCGCCTCCCAGAGGGCAGGAGGGTGAAGAGTCCATGTGATGGGCGACTGGGGTCTTTGATGATTTTCCCAGCCCTTTTCAGACACCGCTTCCTGTAGATGTCCTTTATGGCAGGAAGTGGTGCTCCGGCGATGCACTGGGCAGTTTTCACGACCCTCTGCAACGCCTTCTGGTCCGAGGCAGAGCAGTTCCCGTACCAGACTGTTATACAGTTGGTCAGGATGCTCTCGATGGTGCAGTGATAGAAGTTCACTAGGATGTCTGAGGACAGGTGGTTCTTCCTCAGAGTCCTCAAGAAGAGGAGGCGCTGGTGAGCCTTCTTGACCAGCTTGGAGCAGTTGGTCGTCCAGATGAGATCCTTGGAGATGTGGACTCCCAGGAACTTGAAGCTGCTCACACGCTCCACAGCCGTCCCCTTAATGTAGATGGGTGGATGTGGGTCAGCATTCCTCCTGTAGTCCATGATGAGCTCCTTGGTCTTCTCAGTGTTAAGCAGCAGGTTGTTTGTGTCGCACCACTCAGCGAGACGATCCACCTCCTCCCTGTAGGCGGCCTCATCGTTGTAACTGATGAGGCCAATCACCATTGTGTCATCTGCAAACTTAATGATGGTGTTGGAACCATTGGTAGGTCTGCAGTCGTGGGTGAAGAGGGAGTAGAGGAAAGGGCTCATCACACAGCCTTGTGGTACACCGGTGTTCATTGTGATTGTAGATGAGCAGTGGTTATCCAGCCGGACATGTTGGGGGCGGTTAGGTTATAATGTGCATTTTTGGACTTGTTTTTTACCTTTCCCGGGGCAGATGAAAGCACTGGGGTTTATTTTTGGAGGTCTTAAAATACATTTAGTTCTTTATTACCTGTTTTAGCAGATGTGTCAAATTATGATTCTAACCAAAGTGATTCCTTTACCTTTAAACATCTTGATGGCAATAAGGTTTTTCAACACAAACCATGATGGTTTTTTTGCCATCACCAGTGTGTGAATGTGTGTGTGAATGGGTGGATGACTGGATATGTAAAGCACTTTGGGGTCCTTAGGGACTAGTAAAGCGCTATATAAATACAGACCATTTACCATTTTTAACCAAAGGCCAGTATTTTCATGTGACATTAAATGACAATGAAAATGTACAGTGAGAGAAAGCGAAATTTTAGCGCTGCCATCATGAGTCTTAGCATTTTGAGCACTGCAACTCAGTACATTGTTGCTAGCGTACAGTAGTTTTATTTATGTTATTTATTTGTATTATTTTATACACACATTCATCGTGTTAAAGACCGTATTTCACAACATCTTAACTACTGCCTGTGGGTTTGTATAACTGGAGTGGTGCCACTATAGGCTGGATTGACATGAAGTAAAATTTAAAATATGTCATTTGAAATGTTGCATGTTGGCATTTTATTTTAAAAAATCTTTCTGCCTGTTTTAGAATGTGTCTGAATGTGTTTTAGAACATGTCATTAGAAGTTAGTATCATTAGAAGGCATAGCACACATTTTCACTGATTATGCATAAGATACCCACTTTTATCTATTTTTAATTGCATAAAAACCTAGATGACCTCTAATTTCCTGCTTCTAAATTCAAATAAAACTGAGGTTATTGTACTCGGCCCTTAAAATCTCAGAGATACAGTGTCTAACTTGATGCATACTCTGGATGGCATTACCTTGGCCTCCAGTGACACTGTAAGGAATCTTGGAGTCATTTTTGACCAGGATATGTCCTTCAGTGTGTATATCAAATAAATATGTAGGACTGCTTTTTTTCCATTTGTGCATTATCTCTAAAATTACAAACATCCTTTCCCAGAGTGATGCTGAAAAAACTAGTACATGCATTCATTAATTGTAGGCTGGACTACTGTTTTTCACTATTATCAGGATGTCCTAAAAACTCCCTCAAAAGCCTTCATTTGATCCAAAACTCTGCAGGAAGACTGCTGAACGGGACCAAGAAAGACAAAATATATTTCGTCCATACTGGCTTCTCTTCATTGGCTCCCTGTTCAATCTAGAATTGAATTTAAACTTGTAAAATAATCATTCCGCCTTTTATCTTAAAGACTTCATACCCCCCATTAGAGCACTTTGCTCTCAGACTGCTGGTTCACTTGTGGTTTCTGGGGTATTTAAAACTAGAGTGGCCCGTTTTCTGTTGTACAAGCTTCTAGTTTGGTTTCAGAGAAAGACTCTGCTTTTAAGATTAGACTTTAAATTTTCATTTAGAAGAAAGTGATGTACTTAGAGCTGTGACACATGACCCTGAGTCCCCTTTAGTCATGCAGTAATAAGCCTAGGCTGCTGGGGGCTTCCCATGATTAGTGTTTCTTCTTACTCACCTTTTTTTTTTTTAAGCCACCCCAGGAGGTTAAAAGGAGTTTTCTTCGCAAATGTAAGGTTACAGGCCTTGATACTTCCAAAGATTTTTTTCTAAATGCTTGAAAGTTCATCAGACATTTACAAAATATCTGGACAATTGTTGCTCTAGTGTGTTGGATTATACCCTACTATGGTTCAGGTATCATTGGGCATCTAAGTCATGGTTTCTCTGCGAGTTTGGAGAAAGTCTGACATGGGTTCAACGAGTTCAAGAAGATGGATAGAATGTCCTTTTCACCTACACTGGAATGCCCTTTCTTTGCCCTGCCCTGTGGTGAGAAAAAAACAGCTCATCCAGATCAGCTGAGGCAGTTCAAACAAGGCCAACCTTCAGAGGTTTTTGCCTGGGAGACTTTACAAAATAAAATGTAGCTTAACTTCATTTTCATTTCCATTCTCTCTGTTTCCCCAAGGAAGGCATGACGCAGCAGGATGGAACACTAACAGCAGTTTGTGCACACACAAACACTCGGCCTCCAACTGCTCAGGGAGAAAAATTAAAAAAGACAGTGTTTACTCAGGAAGAAATTATTTTCATGCACTGGCCGCTCTGGCTGGTCGGCAGCAGTACAGTCCACCATTACTTTGGCATACACAAACCAGATCCGTTGGTGGATCTGGTTTGTGTATGTGTTTCTTTAGTTTTGTAATGAATTGTAAATAGATTATGATAATCAGAACTTGAAATAATTTCTCTCTAAACATATTTCCACATATGTGGAAAAGCTATGCTAGCTTTAGATTTCCATTCCCTTTATTCAAATTTAGGGACCACCCAATCTCCCCCCTCTGTTGAATGGAGAGTCGTTGCCAAGGCTGCCTCATCCAAAATTCAATAACATGTGATTGGCAGGTCGAGGAAATTGAATTTGAATATAGTTTTTATGAACTGACAAATGTTTGTGCGTAAAACCTCCTCTTCTGTAATAATTTCCTGTTCCACACAATACTGTGTAGTCTGTGCCTTATGTTATTGGACGTTCCAGTATGGAGCACATTTTATAATTAAACACACACTTAAAAAAGCATTTCAGCCTACCTCTTACTAAATGTACATATTCGGGTTGTTTACTAATAATCCAGACATCATGACTTAGCACTTCTGACCTCTTACATTCTGATTCGACAACACTAGGTCACAGATTTGAGGATAACCCTGGGGTGCGTCGGCACCTGGTGAAGAAGTCGTCCCGATGTCACATGAGCCGAACCAGCAACAGTTCTACGCCGCTGTCCAGCCTGAAGAAGAAGAAGAGGGCTTCGGAAAAGAAAACTCACGAGGTTTGCAGCGCGGTGACAGCCACGTTTTGTTTTGCTTACTTTTTTAATCACATGCAGTAGCATAGCTGGTGTTCTTTTCACTGTGTTATAGTTTTTGTTTTTTGTGCGTCAGCATGACAAAATGTGGTCCTGGAGACATATACTGTTGCAGGGACACAGTCAGATGTGAGTACTTTTGCACATGTGCTGGGGCTCACAGCCTCCTGATAGTTGTTTCTATGACTGTGAGTCTTCGATTTTATTATGATAGCATCATAAAGAAACTTCTTTGGTTCATGAGTGAACTTTCTTTAAATAGCTTGCTTTGTTAAGAATTCTACCCTTAAACAGTGTTAAATAATATTGTGTTGGCACAGTGGCAGAGATAAACTGTGACAACAACTGAGATTGTTACTGACATTTTTACTGTGTAATAAAGGTGCTGCAGGGAAAATATCTTGTCCTTTAACTAATAAGTGATCCAAAGGCTGCTAGCAAGTTACAAAAGGAGACACTGTACAATGGCTTTACCTTTTTTGCCTCATATCAGATCGTACCTTAAATTCCGAATTAGTCCCCTCAGCCACAAAAGAATCCGGGTCACGGCACCAAGTATTAAATCCAGTTCTTGTGTATTCTCTTAATGGCAAAGAAAGACACGGCTCAAAGTGGTCTATTTATATACTTCCTCTACACGTCACGCACACTTTAAGTTTCAATCAAACACTACTTAGTTTCACTTTCTGCCTGCAGCTCATATTCTCTGCAAAAGCATGCAGTTTCCTGTCAGTACGTTTTGGCACAGACTGTACTCAGAGTTGGGCCTCTCTTATACATAAAACAATATAATCAGCAAATAAGTGCTAAGAATATATATTAAATACATGACACCACTAACATCTCCCTGCTGCTCTCCAAAAGTGATTATAAGAGATGGATGTAGCTTCTGTGGCTGAAATTATCATTTAATATGCAAGTGCCTTTAACCCGCATTGTTTTTAATTTCCAGCAGGGGGCATCTCCTCTAGCTACATAATGAAACTAATTTCCATAGAAGTCTATGGGAGAACAGCCCTTGTCTCGTGACCTGTGACTGAAGTAAACACCTTCCTCACGAGTTCATGGTTTCAAGTCTTGCTGATTATAACATGATGTTCTTTTTGTAAATAATGGTCTTCATTACAGTCAAAAAAGAAATTAAATCGAGGTATATTCAGTTAACAAGTTGCTATCATTTAAATGTCTCTTGTGTTCCAGTTTCTCGGTCAGACTGGTTCCTTTTTGAAAAAGCTGGTGCTTCTAGAATGACCTTTGCTAAGCAATAAGTTGTGTCACGATGGCTTTATCCATTTACAGTCTGTGTTTGAAAAAAGGTTGATGAAAGGATTGAGAAATAACCAACATGCAGATATAAACTGTAGACAGACAAACCAAAACTAAAAGCTTGAAAAGGCGAAAATAGATCAGCAATGCTCAGGGGAATTGCAAAGTGGGGGATAATTTTGTGTATGCTTTTCCCCTTTCTCACACACAATCCTAGTTAGTATTAGTATAAGTATTGAGCAGTAGAGCTTTAATTACAGGTCCCAAGTGTAGTCTTACTGTAGCTTAAGCACAAAGTGCATATTTGTTTCTTCTGAGTTTGACAGTCAAAAACAAAAATTGTGTTGCTCTGAGGAAAAAAGTCATTCTTTTTAAAAATGTAACAGATTGTCCCTCTAGACCACTTTATTCTTCATAGTTCTGTCCAAAGACAGCGAGTGCATGATGCACACAGCCTTTCTCTTAGCTGGTTGAGTGTGCTGTGTGCACTGTCTTCAATCATTATTTTATTCTTTCTCCGTGTATGTTTTGGTAAACAAACTGTATTGAAGATAGGAACTTGGAAAAGAAGTTGGGGGGATTTTCACAGCTTTAAATGCGTTCCAAGGAACTTGATTATGGATTATAAACAACGTGATAGACATGTTTTTCCCCACTGAGTTACACCCTCATAACACAGTTGTCAAACATATTCCAAAAGTAATCTTAGACAGGTACGTGTAACGGGTCAAGCGTGTGCTTTAGCGCTTATGTTTCTGCCCTGTTTTATCTCCAGTTGTTTGTGGAGCTGAACGAGCTGATTGTGGAGAAGGACCATGAAATGCGATGGAAGGAGCGCGCTCGCTGGATCAAGTTCGAGGAGGATGTGGACGATGAGACGGACCGCTGGGGAAAACCTCATGTGGCCTCGCTGTCCTTCCGCAGCTTGCTGGAGCTTCGCCGCACCATCACACATGGTAAAAAGCTCCTGTGTGTGTCCAGCAAGCATCACGTTATCAGTCATGCAGTTTATCGTATGTGCAGCTGAAATGAAATTCACAAACATAACTGTGATATGCAGAAAACCGCAAATTGTTTCCTGCTTTGTTTCAAGCTTGCTTAAAACTGTTTCTTCCCCTTAAGACTGAATAAAGTTGCAGCAGCGACTTGTTTGGGTTGGCCTTTCTTCTCTAGGTGCCATCCTATTGGACCTCGAACAGACCTCTCTGCCCGGCATCGCCCACCTGGTCGTGGAGACGATGATCATTTCCGATCAGATCAGAGCCGAGGATAGGCCCAACGTTCTTCGGGCCCTGCTTCTCAAACACAGGTCAGTAACCAGGCTGACACTAGCATTAGGCTGTGCCTGATTGAGTGCATCACCAATTCATAACATTATTTCCTGCGGTGGTAAACAGTGAAGAACCACAGTTCAAGGAGAAGATGTTTCAAGTTAATGGAAAAGAGATGAAAAATAAAAGCCGAGCAGAGCAGTGAATCAGAGAAATAAAAGTGATTGTTTTCCCCGATTGGTTTGCAGCAGTTTAATTATAAAGACTAGTTAAAATGCTAACACCACCTTCGATTTTTGTAACACAGGGTGTCATCCTGTGTGCTGCTGCTGCTTTATGTTTGTAGGCGTGTGTGCCAGTGTGTGCACTAGCTCTGACAGATAGAGAGCAGAAAAAAAGATGTGACTTGGTGTGTAAGTTTTTCCGAAAGTTCTCATTGTGTCAGGGGACACAGAAGAGCAAACCATTTAGCTTTCTTGAAATATTTGAAAGGAGTCTGGTTAAGGCTCTTTTTGACTTTGTGCCTGACCCTGAGTAAAGATCATATTAACATGTAACACACTCATGTTAAGAAAAGGTTGTTTAAGTGTTCTTTATGCGTTTGGATTTACAGTAGCTTAATGAGAATGTGCTTCCTTAACATGTTTATCTTTGGATCTTTGAGAAAAAAAGCTTCCTGTTTATCCCTTGACTTCTGTTTCATGAGATATTCCCTAAAATCAGTGAGATTTAGTTGGTTCTTTACCCATGTATTAACCAACCTGTCAATTTAGGGTACTGTGGATGCAGCTTTGTTTACATTCTGACCCTGGATTGTAGGTTTGGTCGTATGAAGAATTAGATCCAAGCCTTCCTGCTCATTAATCATTATCCCACAGAGGAGAGAAAAAAAAAATTCAACTCAGGGGAACTGAGCTGGGAATTTCCAAAAAGTGACATTTAACAAGACTTGGCTCATCAACTGCTGTACTTCCCCGGGTTGACTGAACTGCAAATGTCAAGACTGGGCTGTATCTGTACTGAGTGTTAAAGCCTGTGCTGTTAGACTTGGCGTTTGAGCCTTCGTTGTGTGGTCCTTCCTGGATGTTTGATCTTTGCCTTTGTTTAAGACCGTTGCTGATTCCTACGCACCGAGAGTGAAAAGGAGAGTGTAAAATTTATGTGTCCCCAAAATTCACTTTATAAATCCAGGCTTACTTTTTTCCTAAAAAACTATACGTGTTTTCATTTCAAATGTTTCCTGTTTCTTTCTAGCTGGCTCAGCTGTTATTTGAGCCGAGGAGTTTTCAGCGCTTTGCTTTTTTCTGCATTAGTAAGTCTAAGCCTGCCACTGCTGGATCGATGGTGTTGTTGGAAATTATTGGGTGTGATGCTGTTAAACCAGCGGAAGTGTATATGAGTAGATATGGGAAGGTGGTGGTAATCATAGGACACTAGAACGTGCTTTTCGTTGTCATAATCCGAATTCAAAAAAGTAATATTTAACTAGCTATTCACAAAACACGTGAAGATATAGTTACTTACATCCTGTACCCAAGTCAAACAAATAAAAGCATGGAACTGTGACTCCAGTGCTCCCTGATATTGCCACTCATTGATTTGCCCTGGCATTGACACGACAGCTAAACTGTGATACACGTGGCCAATCGAATAGCGCTCTATAACACAGCGAATTACATTTTACAGTTACATAACTAGAGACTGGAAACAAGTCAAGTAAATGTTGGCTAAATTACCAGAGGAAAGACGAGCCCTGCCTGTCAGAAGTACATACAATGTTGCCATCTTACTCACAAAGCCTCCAATTAATATTAATAGAAACAAATCTAAATCCTGTTCTGCAGCTTATGATATTTAACTCAAGAGCTCCTGTGACTTTTGCTTTTCTAAAATGATGCTTTTGTACTTAGGTGGAAGTAGTATAGAAAATAAGATAAGGAAGACAAGCGCATTCCAGAACAACTTTTGAACTTGGAGTGAGACAGTTTTGTCAACTGGTGTTGAATTTTCCCTCACGCCTGTTATTGTTATACTTTACAAGGAGCTCAGAATGTCCCTTTTTCTCCTGACTGCATAGAACCTCAGTCCTGCCAGGTTCCCCCCTTTTTTTTAAGGCAGAATGGTACAGCCTGGATTTGAAGAAGAAGAATCTCTCCTGGATAATGGTGTGGTGACCTTAGTTAGACCCATGGATTATAGCGAACATGGCAACATTTACAGTTCTTTTTTACATATTTTGCACACATGCTCACAAAGCGCCACAGCAGATGCACTCAGAAGAAGCAGGCCAGTGGACGTTCTTAGCAGCGGGCCTTCATGCATTCGTTCCACATTTCACTGCCTTTTCGCATAAATTCCCAGCATGTCACTGGCTGGTTCCACAGGGAAAAGAACACTCCGTCATTAGAGTCATCGCTAGGCTAAAAGATCAGATTTATGACGTGGAATAAAATCACACTGAAGTGCTGCTAGGATTTAGCTCATCGCTTACTCAGACCACTTTAAGGATCCTTTGGAAACGTTTTGTGTGCAATTGACTTCAGTGTCACACTTCGTTCTTTTGTCTTGGGGCGCTGTCTCTTCCAATTTGAGCGCAGTCTTATTGGACCATGTGGGCCTAATGAGTGAGGTGATGTCACCAGTGGACTGAACAGTGATGTAGTGAAACTTGGCCAGTTTGACATGCTTAAAAACTCGTCTTTAAGTGGGGTGAAATGTGCTTAACATCACACGCAAAGAAAGCAGAGAAAATAAGGGCTACAAAGGTCAGTCTCTGGCTCTTTTATTGATACCGTAATGCAAATATCACGTTAATGTGTCAACTCAGATTTTCCTGAAACCGCTTTCTGATTAGCTGCAAAGCGGTTTAATTTTGGAAGGATTTTGCTGATGACTTTTCTAAGATTTATGACCTCCACTGCAGCCGCATGAGGTAAAGATGGTCAACACATTAAATGAACAAAAGATGGATTAGGTGAATAAGAAGCACAGCTGTTTTGAGCATTTCTAGAATCCAGGTAATTCTGCAGCCCACTTAAAAATGATTAAGCTGTCCTTAGCATTAGGCAATTGAGCATGGATATTTTTGGCCTTGAAAACAGTAGTTATTAAATAATAGTAAAAGCAGCTGCACCTTCTGGAGGCTTTGAGTTAAGATTATATTTCTGATTCTTACCTTTGAAAAAGTGCTTGCAGAAGCACCCACTGGAATTTCAGGTCTTGTGAAAGTTCACGTAGGTATTTATTAATGTCATGGAAAAATGTTGACATTTACAAGACTGGACTTGCACCAAATTTGATTCAGACTATTTCCGTTGTTCTTATTCCCCTGAATGACCCTTATCATTTGGTATCACCAGTTCTTAGCTGTCTCCAGCTACGAGCAGGCTCGGGCAGTTAACACATTTAATTTTGGAGGTGCCGCCTCGTTGACAGAAGCGTGTTTCCGTTCTAAAGCAGCAACAAAAGTAAGCACAGTTGGGGGAGTTGTTGGTAGCATAATCCCATAACCTTCATCTCGAGTTCGACCACCTCCTTTTGAAGGTAACTTTCTTGGCCTTTCACTTTTACTCACTGACTTTTGTTTTCATTCACTGTCTGGTTAGATTTAGGCATTGAAATGTTACACCGGTAGTCTATTTTGTACCACCACAAGTACGAGTCTGCATAGGTTCAAGTGTTGGAGATAGGACCTGAAATCCCCATCTCAATGTCCAGCCTCCAGTTTCCTATCACTGTGCAGGCTTTTCCTTGCAGACAGTATAGGATGGCAGTTGCTGGCCATATCTATGGATGAGATAACAACTGCAACTGGCATTTCGAAATGAGAATGTATATAACAATTTGATAACTTTGATGATCTCTTAGCCCTTATTTGGCTCTCACATGAGATTGACTTTTGGGATTCAAATGAAATGAGTGGACGGGTATTGGTTGCTTATATCATCATTAGAATCTGCTCTCTTACTGTGACCCAAATCTCCTTCACAGCCTTGGTTGTGCTTTTGTGCGTTCTGCTAATTTGCAAAAGCCTCCATGTTAAGATGCTCATTGCTGTTTAATATTGTGATGTTAACTTTAATCACATTAACATTTTTTGCAGTTTAGTGACTATATTATATTGCAGGCATAGCTGGAAATTATACTTTGTATATATATATATTTTTTTTTTTTTGCAGCCATCTAAGCGATCACAAAAATCGTTTTCATCGCCACCACTCATCCAGCAGTCTTCATGGCAGCTACAACCACAACCACGTCCACGACACCAACCAGCCATTGGTGTCCGAAGAGCACGATGAGCACCACGAACACAAAGGACCCGTGTACGATCCCAAACAAGACGTTTTTGTTAGCCTGTTTGTAAGTTTTCTCTTCTCTCTTTAATGTGTTACACATTGTCAGTGTCTCTGTAGTTAACGTCATTTACACAGCTCATTTGATTTTTAAGAGGCTCCTGACAGAGATCTGAGAAATATGGGGTCTCGGCGATGAAACAATGTGACGTCGTTGAAACAGTGCAGGCAGACAGCGCGTTAAATTGGCTCTACCAAAGCCAAAGTGAGTGATTAAGTAGCTCTGACAAGATCCCACCGGGGTAATTGGACACAGCTATCTAAGTGGACGGAGATTAAAGGGATGCTGAGCTGTCTTGTTTTAGTTTATGGTTTGCATTAAGTTCTAAGAAGCACACAGTGAGCACAGATTTTGAACGTGGTTACACAAAATTCCTGATGTGAGGCCCGTGGCTCTCACTTTGGCCTTTGAGACGCTTCTTAACAAGGTCAGAGGTCATGTAAGTAGTTCTTGAAGTCGGAGAACGCAGGCCTCCCTGCGCCACATGTGTTGAGTTAAGTTCTTAGTCAGCGTACAGGTGCTTCTGGTTAAAGCATCTTGATATATTAGCTGCGAAAACTTGTTCCTCCTCAGCTTAAAATGTTGGCAAATTTAAACCAGCTTATTAAAAAATATTTTTGAGGCATAAAAAATGGTTTGAAATGAGATGTGACTGTTGATACCTACGTTCCCACAAATGTAAGAATAATGTCACATTATTAGCGCAGTTCTTTGTTATATCACATCACCCTGGCTAGCCAGTAATGTGGGTAATCTTTGTACTGTTCTTCCTCCAAGAAATCTCTCCACCCTCTGCCGGAGACTCATCCAGCCACAGCCAGATCTGTGAAACTTCTCGCCAAGATTCCCAAAGATGCTGAGGCGGTCATTGTTTTAGTTGGTAAGCTTTGGGACAGAGTTTTTCTTTTCAGTTTTTATAAACCACTGGGAGAATAATGCTAATTTCTTGATTTGGCTGTGCCTCACAAACTGCCACTCTCAATATTTTTCTTGTGAAGTACATCAAATCAGTAAGCAGGTTTTTTTTATTTCTTTATTTTGTCCTGTTCTGTAAGGTTGTGTTGAATTTCTGGAGCAGCCGGCTATGGCCTTTGTCAGGCTGAGCGAGGCAGTCCTTCTGGAGTCGGTGCTTGAGGTTCCCGTCCCTGTTCGATTTATTTTCGTCCTTCTCGGTCCCAGTCAGTCCAACGTGGACTATCATGAAATTGGACGTTCTTTCTCCACTCTCATGTCAGACAAGGTAGCCTCCAAATCTCATTCTAAGGCTCTAAGGTGTGTAATTTTTTTTACTAATAATGATAATCTGCTAAACCAAAATAGTTTTGAATCCTATAATATCTTTCCAGTGATAGAAAGTGGGGGTTAAAATTGGACAAGTCACACAGATTTCTAATTATCCTGCTTTTTCTGTCACGGCCATCCACTTCTGTTCTGGATTAGAACTTCCATGAGGTTGCCTACTTTGCTGATGACAGACAAGACCTCCTGAATGGCATCAATGAATTCCTGGACTACAGCATCGTGATTCCACCGTCAGACGTGGAGGGAAAAGACCTCCTGAAGACAGTGGCTGACTTCCAGAAACAGATGCTGCGGAAGAGAAAGGAAAGAGAGCTCAAGAAGCACAGCTCCTTAATTGGAGTAGAGTCAGAAATCAAAGGTAAAAAATAATGTACTTGAATTGTTCCAGACAGCACTGGTTCAGAAAAGGCTGGAAAACTTCAGTGAACAACTAGACACCTGGACACTTGAGACTTGTGTATTAGGGCTCAAATCAACAGAAGAAATGTGTCTAATCTATTCTCATGTCTTTTCTCTTCTGTAAGTTCTGATGTTTTCATAGAATCTATTGTAAATAGAAAAAATATAAAATTCATTCACTACCTTGTTTTTTGGAGGAAGAAATTATTAGATTTAGAAGAGCAAATGAATCGTTAAGTTATCAGCCAAATGCTAAAAAGCTTTGTTAGCAAGGAATGTGCATAGGCTATATAGACAGAAACCAATACAAGCTAATTAACAACCAAATAAAATACTAGAATTTTGCTTACAAAAGCTGGACTTCTTGGATGGCCTTTTCCAAAAGCAACCGGCAGCATAAATATGGTCAAATGGTCCATATCAGTAACTAGCATCATAAACAGCTAGCATCAATCGCTATGTATTTTAGCACCCACTGGTCAGTCACAGAAGTAATGAACTAATATTTGCAAAAAAAAAGCAGCAATAAAATTTAAGCATGGAAGATAAAGCACATAATTTACCCCCTGTACAGGTGTTATAAAGGAGACGTTTCTTTCTACTATAAAGTTGGACATTTTAAAATGAGGGTCAAAAAGAAATGACTCCCTTTTGGAGGTAACGTCAAGTGGCCAGTTGAAGAACTGCAATGGTTTATTGTTTTTTACTCATGGATGGTCCGTGGATATTAGTTTGTTCATGCTGTGATGCCTGTATGAATGCCCACAGAGGTGAGTCCTGAGGAGGAGGAGGAGGGAGAACAGGAAGTGGATCCATTAAAGCGCTCAGGAATGCTGTTTGGAGGTTTGATCCACGACATCCGCAGGCGTTACCCGCAATATGTGAGCGACTTAAAAGACGCCCTGGACATGCAGTGCATTGCTGCTGTCATCTTCATCTATTTTGCCGCACTGTCACCCACTATTACCTTTGGAGGCCTCCTGGGTAATCAAAACTTACTTAAAATATATAGTCCATATTCTTTGATGTACTGCATCTAATTTGTCTATCTCTGTGTGGCTACTTCTACATACAGGAGAGAAAACAGAGGGCATGATGGGAGTGACTGAACTCATTGTTTCCACTGCAACTATCGGAGTTATATTCTCACTGCTTGCTGGACAACCCCTTCTCATCACTGGCTTCTCTGGACCCTTACTGGTGTTTGAAGAGGCCTTCTATAAGGTGACTTTTAACAAGACAATGACAACACAAAGCCTCCCTCTTCATATCATCCCATGTACTTTTTCTCTTGTCAGGTGATTAATCTGTCCTCTCACTCAGTTTTGTCAGGTCTACAACTTTGAGTACCTGACTGGTCGAGTGTGGATCGGCTTCTGGCTCATCTTCATCGTCCTGGTGATTGTGGCAGCAGAGGGTAGCTTCCTTGTCCGCTACATCTCACCTTTTACACAGGAGATTTTCGCTTTCCTCATCTCCCTCATCTTCATCTATGAGACTTTCTCTAAGCTCATCAAGGTAAGAATTTAAACAGTAATCAGTCCTGCAAATGCTAATAAAATCAGTCACATTGTATAGATTTACTCTTTTTTTTTTTTTCTTCCAGGTTTTTAAGGAACATCCACTGATGGCAGTGTATCCCACTGACGCCAGTGGGTCTCAAAATTTTGATGGTCCCATATACAACCAGCCTAACACTGCTTTTCTTTCTCTGGTGCTCATGATGGGCACTTTCTTTGTTGCATTCTTTCTCAGGAAGTTTCGAAACAGCCGGTTTTTAGGTGGCAAGGTAATAAACTTCCTTTAATCCTTTCAAACAAATCATATCATACTTCTCATGAGAATATAAATGGACTCTATAGAGCATTTTTTATTACATCTAGTCTAAGTCTAAAGTGAATGGACTTCTTTATGTTTAATGGAGACAAGGGTGAAACCACTGCGATACCTTGCCCTCACCCTATCATATGATCTATTAAGGTCAGCTGACACGTGTTGTGAGTGGGGGTTGAGGCGCTTGGGAAGAGATCTCAAGACTGCATTGTAGGTGGCTGACAGTTGGTGTCATAACCCACCGCATCTGTTTAATTACGGTTGTACACAGGGCACATAGATGGCTTCTTTTACTCTTCTGTCAAGCCCGCTTTGTTGTCGAAAGAGTGACCTTTACCCTTTAGGTGAGGGTGTACAGTATAGTGCTGCTCTGCACAGCATGCACAGGCAAGGCAAGGCAAGGCAAGTTTATTTGTATAGCACAATTCAACAACAAGGTGATTCAAAGTGCTTTACAGAGACATTAGAAACAAGAACAAATAAAAAGCATGATTTAAAATTGAATAAAACAAGCAAATAAACTAACTAACTAATTAACAAACAAACAAACAACAGTATATAAAATCAAAACAGATAAAATCAGAACAGTAGATAAAATCAGTAGTTAAATGTAAGTTTTGAAATTTAAGCTTAAAGTGTGGATTTGGTGCTTTATTCAAATGCAGCTGAGAACAGGTGAGTCTTCAACCTGGATTTAAATAAACTGAGTGTTTCAGCTGATCTGAGGCTTTCTGGGAGTTTGTTCCAGATATAAGGAGCATAAAAGCTGAATGCAGCTTCTCCGTGTCTGGTTCTGACTCTGGGAACTGATAAAAGACCGGATCCAGATGACCTGAGGGATCTGGATGGTCCATACTGGGTCAGGAGGTCATTGATGTATTTTGGTCCTAAACCATTCAGAGCTTTATAGGCCAGCATCAGAACTTTAAAGTCTGTCCTCTGACGGACAGGCAGCCAGTGTAAGGACCTCAGAGCTGGACTGATGTGGTCCACTTTTTTGGTCTTAGTGAGGACTCGAGCAGCAGAGTTCTGAATGAGCTGTAGTTGTCTGATTGATTTTTTTAGGTAGACCTGTAAAGATGCTGTTACAGTAATCAAGCCTACTAAAGATGAATGCATGGACTAGTTTTTCCAGGTCCTGTTGAGACATCAGATCTTTTATCCTTGATATATTCTTGAGGTGATAGTAAGCTGACTTTGTTATTGTCTTAATGTGTTTTTCTAAGTTTAGGTCTGCATCCATCACTACACCCAAATTTCTCTCCTGGTTTGTGGTTTTTAGATGTATAGATTGAAGTTCTCTGGTGACCTGTAATCGTTTTTCTTTGGCGCCAAAGACTATTACTTCAGTTTTGTTTTTGTTTAGCTGGAGAAAATTGTGGCACAACCAGTCATTGATTTCCTCCAGTGTTGTTATCTTGTGTTTGGGAGCTTTTGTCCTTGAGATAAACCAGTATTTGTCTGAAGCTGCAGCTGGGTCTAAAGTACAATGCTCATGATAGGGTGAGGGAAGGTGTCACAGTGGTTTCAGCCGAAACCTCTGGTGATGTTAAGGACCCACACCTTTTTTCACACCGTGGCTCAGGTGAGGTCAGCAACCCTCACTAAGGTTTAAATACCTCTCTGAAACTCTCTTCCATTTGGTTTTAGAAGTGACGACACCTCTTGAATGAGAGGTGAAACATCTTCTTGAAATTTAAATTTCATTTACTTTCTAAATAAATACATATTTTACTGTATATTTTAGAAACAGTATTGTTTAAACTTCATCCTCTGTGGCTTTTCTGCATGCTGTTACCACTAAATATTGTGGAAAGGTGTCCAAACCTCAGCAGGGATGTGTGACATGCTGTGAAAGAACAAGGGCCATATATGAAACATTGCTCTTTAGCACTCCTAGTGGAGGAAAACGTCAGCGTTTGTGTCAGAAGGTTGATTCTGTCCATCTGGACAGAAATGTTTTGTCACTCATACAAATGTATTCTTCATTCGCAGTTGAATGCATAATGACTGTTATGCAACTGTACCATTTATAAGTTTGGGAAAACCTGCAGTGAGCTAAGACTGAATAACTCACTTGTTCCAGATGAACATTTCTGGCATTTCTGTACCTGGATGACAGAGCATGTATCAAGACTTCACAGTTTATATTTGAAGGTAAACTGTAGCTTAAGATGAGACGAGGCAGGTAGGCTGTGTGATTTCAGATCGTAAATATCTTTGTCTCTGCACTGAAACGGTTATGTGCAGTTATTCAGTGATGCAAATACGTTTTTAAGCTTCTGTTTTACAGACAAACTACTGCTGGCTAGTCTTGATAGCTAAAGTGGTTTGTTTTGATGAAAAAAGAGCAGATCAGTCATATAATTTATACTCATTCATATGAAAAGCAATTCAAATCAGCATTTTTCCACTCAACAGGAGGTTGTTCCCTTCTGCATGACTTCTTTTTACATAATCTTTGACTTATGCTCAAGTGATGTTTCTCTTTATGAGATCTGGGATGTATTTTCACTTTTAATTTAATGTTTGGTTTCTTGATATCCCCAGGCCAGAAGGATTATCGGTGACTTTGGCATCCCGATCTCAATCTTAGTTTCAGTACTGGTGGATTACGCCATTACTGACACTTACACACAGGTAGCGTCACTGCTAATCACAGAAATCCTGCACAGCAAGTGCAGACATTTTTCAAAAGCTCTAACACATTTTTCTTTTCAGTATTAAAAACAGATTTTTTTTTTCTCTCTTTTAGAAACTCAATGTGCCATCAGGTTTTTCTGTCACGTCTCCTGATAAGAGAGGTTGGTTTATCAGCCCCTTTGGTGACAAGAAGCCCTTCCCCACTTGGATGATGGGGGCGTCTGTTGTTCCTGCCCTGCTTGTGTTCATTCTTATTTTCATGGAAACTCAAATTACTTCGTACGTTCGCACGCCATGATTATATACAGTTGCAAAGAATTCTGTACATGTGCATGAAATATGTTCACTAAAATAAACATTTTATTGTTTTCGTCTTGTTCCTCCAACATCTTAGGTTGATAGTCAGTAAGAAGGAGCGTCGGCTGGTTAAAGGCTCCGGCTTCCATCTGGATCTCCTGCTCATTGTCATCCTGGGTGCCCTCTGCCCCCTTTTTGGCTTGCCGTGGCTCACGGCAGCCACTGTGCGCTCTGTCACTCATGTTAACGCGCTCACAGTGATGAGCAAGGCCACGGCTCCTGGAGAAAAGCCCATGATCCAGGAGGTGAAAGAGCAGAGGCTCACCGGACTTCTTGTGGCTGTGCTTGTTGGTAAGAGGAGAGGCAAGGATGGGAGTGGGGAGTACCAAATGATTATGCAGCACACCCCCTTCCTTTTTTGATCATAGCTTAGCAACTGTAGTTAGAAAGGCCTGACATCAAGCCTGTTGTTTTAGATATACATACATTGCATTTATGTATATTTATTTGCAGACTTTCTAAACAGATGGTTGTTTAGAACGTCTACAGCACTTTGACTGTGATTTCTTTTAAAAAAAAAAAAAATGTGTATCATGCTCTGTTATGTAAGATTTCAAATATTCAATTAAGTCCATAAACTCATTAGGAAAAGGTCCTAATTGCTGAGGAGTTGGGGTATTTTCTCCCCACTGCAGGCCATTAAAAGGAATGCAGTTTTAAGGTGCTTTAACACAAGAATGGAGCCTCAAAGTCTGAAAGTGAAGCCAGTGGCCGAGTCAAATGAAAAGAACGTTTTTTAAGGAATCTGTGCAGTCCTGTGAAAAACAAATTAAACCATTACTTCTTTCGGAGGAGTTAAGAGGATAAGTAGTAGCCAGATGCTGCTAATCAAATGCACTTGACTAACTGATCTTTAGCAAGTTTGGACACTTCTATAAAAGCAGTATTCGTAGTTTTCTGGTCTGGAGCATTCGGATGTGTTACTACAATGCCACATTTTCCCCAGGAGTGGACGGACCAGCATATTCAGCCAGATCTCAGATTTTTCAGTGAACAGAGACACTGTTAGAAAACCCAAAAGCTCAGATTCTACAGGTCTCAATTCGCATGGTAAATATTAAAGTGCATGACAACATCAGAAAAACTGAACAAGTATTGCTTGTTTGGAAAGGGTTGCTAGGAGAAAGCCTCTTCTCTGTAAAAAGAAAGAACATAGTGTACTTAGCTTTGCAAAGTTTGCATCTAAACAAACCACAGGACTTCTGGAACAATGTGCTTTGGACATATGAGTGGAGTCATAATGTTTGGTAATAATGCACTGTGCCACTTGTGGCAAAAGCCAAACTAAAGGTTGGCTGAAATTGGGTCTTGCAACAGAACAATGATCCAAATTATAGCAGTAAATCAACAAAAGGAAAAGGAAAAGATTAAGGAAGGAGAACTGTGCATAAATTAATCCTCAAATAGTTGACCTGCTATACCTAATGAGCTACATCAACCCTAAAGTTCTTCTTAAGTCAGACAGAAAAAGATTACCTCAAGTTACTTAATGTTAAGATGGCTCTACAAGATACTGAATGGGGTGCACTTGGTCTTTCAGGGGTTTGCACAGAGTCTGTGAAAATGTCCATTTTCACATGATTGCATATACACTGTGTGGCTGCTGCCATAGTAAGTATAGCAACATTAATTCCAAAGTCAAAATAAACGCAATTATTTTGTCCAATTACAGAAAAACATATAAAGCCTGTTGTTTTTTAAGAGTTTGCCAACATTAACGCAGAAATTAACCTATTTAATTTAGTTAAAATTAATTGAAAAGGGGAGACAATGTAATCGGCTGGCAGAATTACACTTCTTATCATTCTATGTAAGGAAAGTGTAAGGATCAGAATTTACACCAGATCAATATTCAAGATGGAATAAAACACGAATCTGAACCAGTGGCTATTTCTAGGTAAATAAACGCGAGCTGGAAGAGTGGCAGCTCTGTAGCTCCTGCATGTCTAGACATTCATGAAGGTTGACTCAGCCCAACAACAGCTTAAAATGATTTTTCATTCTGTTTGTCTTCAAAATGAGCCGAGACAGTCGTTCTACAAGAAGAAAATTTTGTGAAAGTGAAAATGCACTGCCTGACATTGCAGCATTGTTTTTCATCCACTGACTCATTGCGTTTTGCCGACTGAAAGTCTTGTTTCAATTAAGGTAGGGTTCCCGAAGCAATCTTAAGTCTAGTTTGATCCAGTTTGGGTATGCAGGCGTGGTGAGTCATCATGATTGTTGAGCTTTTGTTTGAGTGAAATGCTGTTTGGATTAGGAAGAAGACTGTTTGGATTAGCCCTCAGAGTATCTTAACCAAGGCATCTGAAGAGGGAGTGTGTTTCTAATAAAAGGCACGACAGCGTGTTTGTTTTTAAGGGCCGTTCCCGTTCCCTTGTTGAATGAATAATTTTCTCCACAGTTGCCAGTTATTGTGCACGCATGCAGTAAAATCATGTTAAAAGTCCCCCTTTAAATCCCTGTTTGCCCATCAGGTATGTCCATAGTGATGACAGATATTCTCCGCCTCATCCCTCTGGCTGTGCTCTTCGGGATCTTCCTGTACATGGGGGTCACCTCTCTGACGGGCATCCAGCTGTACGAACGCATAACGCTTATGGTCACGCCTGCCAAGCACCACCCGGACCACATCTACGTCACCAAGGTAGCACACGCAATAGCAGTGTTTACATGCCCTCTGCTCTATTATGAGCGGTAACATGGAGAAACCAAAGCCAGCAGAGCAGCAACTGCGGGACCAAAATGACGTCCGTCCTCAGCGTTTGAGTTAAATCAAAAGAAAAACAGAGAGGCTTAGATGCTGAGAGTCAGAGACATACTACAACGTCACAGTGGATAATGACAAATCCCAATGAAAACCATGCACACCAGATTTCTGGTTTAAAGTCCTGGTTTCGAAAGAGTTTTTTCCTGGAGTTTGGACCCAAATCTGAGAGTAACCTCAACAGTTTAGGGAAAAGCACAGTTCATTTTCTGGCCATCTGGTTACTAATTCATCCATTCCTCTTATTTCACCTGCAGCTGTCAGACTATAGCATAGTTTTATCTACTCTTTGTATTACTGGTGTCAAACCATTTACATCTGTAATTTAAAACATCTAATTCAAATATTAAAGCAAAAAAAATCAGAAAAGATAAAAATAAAAACTAGATTCTAGAAAAATGTCTTAATTTTAGTCTTTTAGCGTTACTTCATGTCGTGTTGTGCTGTATTCTAAAACCTTGTAAATTTTGCCTCCCGTAAATCATTCAGTATTTATATTGCATCAGCTGGCTATAGCATTGCCTCAAAATGCTTTATATTAAAAGGTAAAGATCCTGCAATACTCGAGAGAGTCTTCTATAAGAAGACACATCCTCCTCTGTCACACCAACCCTCTGCATGTCCTCCTTCACTACATCCATGAACCTCTGGATGAAGCTCCGTCTTCAACATCCTTTGCCCAATATATTGTTGCTGAAATTTGAAATAAATTAAGGCGCACACAGCCAGGCTGTCTTTATGAGTTTCATTACTTTTGTTAAGCGGTCAAACAGCACAGGCAATGTGACAGTAGCCTGCATCTTTATAGAGACGGGTTATCTCTCTGCCATGGTCACAGAATACTTTGTGTAATAAAAAAATAACTCGTACATCAACATGTGATATATCTGGAAAATAGCAAAGCTCCGATATTGTCAGGTCAGCTAATCTTAACACCATCAAACTAACTTAACACCTTCAACTCAAAAACATAACCTCTTTTTCTAAAGTTGCTGTGTTTACATGTGCAGCAGATTACCTAGATGTTAAAAAAACAGTTATAACTGGGATGTAGTGGGATCTTGATGTACACACAGCAGCAGTGCGTGAAAACACACACTCTCCATGGGACTACATAGTAGGATTGTATTTCATGTCTTACCAGAAACTTAAACAGCACGTCCTCAAGTGCGCAGATGCTTGCTCTCTCTATTATTTTTTTTTTAACAGCACAGTTTCCAACCTAATAGCTCACGTAGAAAAGCTTAGATCTTGTTATGTAGGGAACACTCCCTGCTAACATGTCTCCCATTCACAGCCAGAGCAACTTTGCAGCTGCTTATCGTGATAACTTGCAATAAAGCCTATGAGACTGTAAATAAATTACAACCATTCCCATGTCTTAAAATCCAATCTTAATGGCTTTGTAATTCAAAATTTTCCCTGGTGAATTTCTTAAAAAAAGAGAGACAGAAAATCTAACCCTCATGCATGTTTAAAAAAAGATTAGATGCAGAATTTTCCACTAGATGGAGCCAAAAATGTGATTTGTGCATCTCTGGATATATCTGTCTGTGCTGTAATTTCCTGGTTTCTAACCCTCTGACCAATATGTGTGTGTTTCTTCAGGTGAAGACATGGCGCATGAACATGTTTACCATCACCCAGCTGGCATGCATCGTGGCTCTGTGGGTAGTGAAGTCTACTGCGGCCTCCCTGGCGTTCCCCTTCGTCCTCATCATGACGGTGCCGCTGCGACGCCTCATCCTCTCCAGGATCTTCGAGGAGCGTGAGCTCCAGGCGGTAAGTTTAGGTAGCAGAGGCTTTCCGAGAATGTTTGCCACAATCATCCGATCCCACATAGCCTCGAGATACTTACTGTATACGACAAATTTAAAATTCAGCGGACGTTTGCATGTTTTTATATCGGTCTAATACTGACTTGCAGGGCTTGAAACAAATTTGACCCCTGACAGTTCTGATGATTATTTTTGCCCCTGTGATCATTTCATCCAAATCATTTCAAGACATACGCAGATATTGCTTTTTGCTTTTGGGTTTCATGTTTTCTTGGACAGATCCACCTAAACCCATACATGTCATCACTGTCAAATTAAAACCTTCCATTTCCTAAATGTCAACTTTTTAAGAGCAAGAAAATAAGCTTATTCTTAACATGACCACCGTTCATGTGTTCTCATGAACCCTCTGCGCTGCAGAATTGCCCCAAACCACCTAAAGGACTGGCAAAAGTTGAAAATTGCCAAAGCTGAACCTCCTTGACGTCAAATCCTCCACTCCCCCGAACCTTCACCCTTGTATGAACTCCATAATAAATGTTCCTGTTTCACATTCTTTGCTTTGCTTTTCTGCACTATAGACAATTGGTAAACCAAAGAAAGTCAAAGGGGAAAAATGGCCTTGTAGCTCTGGTTTGTCTCATGTTCACATTAGTGGATGAAATAATGTAAACCTGAGGGAAAGTCATTCCTAGAAAAACTTCTAATGATCCATGTATGGGAAATGCAAATTAAAAAAACAAAACAAAAAAGAAAACTACTAAGTACATGATTTGGACCTTTGCTAGTCAAGATTGACACATACCATCAATGATTTTCTACAATAATTCCATAAATATAACCTAAATCCCAAAAAAGTGGAAACAGTTTGTAAAATGTTAATAAAAACAGAATGCAGCGATCTGCAGATCTCATAAATAAATCCATATTTTCTTCACATGGGAATATAAAAAAACATATCAAAGGTTTACATTTTCCTGTGTTGCTGCATTTTCTTGCTTCCAGAAAAATACTAGCTCAGTCTGAATCTGACACATCTCAAAAACGATGGGACAAAGGCAACAAAAAACTGGGAAAGTAAGTGGCACTAAAAAGAAACAGCTGGAGGAACATTTTGCAAGTAATTAGGTTAACTGGCAACTGGTCGGTTACATGACTGAATAAAAGGGAATTGTGGAACACTCTCAGAATAATATTCCTCAGTGTAAAATTGTGAAGCCATATGCAAACATGATCCAGAAACACGCTTCTCTGGGCCAAGGCTCATTTAAAATGGACTGAGGCAAAGTGGGAAACTGTTCTGTGGTCAGACGAATCAAGATTTGAAATTCTTTTTGGACAACATAGATGCTGCATCCTCTGAACTAAAGTGGAGAGGGAACCTCTGGCTGGTTATTGGTTCAAAAGCCTGCATTTCCGATTCTAGGGGGATGTATGAGTGCCTTAGTTTGCACATCTGGAAAGTCACCATAGGGTATATACAACTTTTAGAGCAACTACACTACCATCCAGACAATGTCTTTTTGAGAAGGCCTTGCTTATTTCAGCAAGACAATGCTAAAGTGCATACTTCATACCTTTACAAGACCTTTCTGAAACATTTGGGACATGATGGAAAATACAACAAAGCAGGCCCAGGACTGTTAAGCAGCTAGAATCCTCTATCAGACAAGAATGAGACAACATTCCTTTCCCAAAAGTCCAGCATCTGCTCTCCTGAGTTCATTTACAGACTGATGTAAAAAGACGATGAGACGCTACAAAGTGGTAAACATGTACCTGTCCCAACTTTCTCGAGATATATTGCTGCCATCAAACTCAAAATGACCGTATGACCTTGAAATGGTCATTTTTTTCTCAATTTAAACATTTGTATTTTTTCTGTGTTCTATAGTTCACAAAATATGGGTTTGAGATTTGCAGATCATTGCGTTTTCTATGTAGTTAAAATTACAGCATTCCAATGTCTTTTTTGTTTTTTTTGAACTGGGGATTGCAATTGTTTCACGAATGTTCTTCTTGTTACCACATTTTCCAATAACGACCTATAACTCAGTTCTAAACTGTATATAAAGAAAAAGAATAAAATAAAAATAAAAGCAGACGTTTTAAAAAATGTCTTACTTTTGTCTATATGTTAAACATAATTTGAAAGCCTGCACCTGTGATGCTAAATTGGCTAATGCAGATTAACACAGAAAATTAGATAGACATTACTGTAGTCTGCTTCTTCAAGATTTGGTGACTTTTAAACAGTCAGGCTAGCTTTTTCCATCTGTTTCTGTCTTTGTGTTTAATTTAGGTTAAGTTGCTGCCCGTTGCTATTTGAACTCGCTAAAAAGTCAATAATAGCTGAGCCTTGAAAAAGTTATACGCAAACCAGAAACCTTCAGATTAAAAGTTGTGCCTCGCCACCGCAGCCAACAATTATCAAAAGATGCAGCTTTTATTTTAAAGGTTAATGTTTTCTGTTTCCAGAAAACAGTTTGTGTCACGCTTTTCCTAATTTCACCATTGCTAGCAGAGTACCTAGCGGCAGCAAATGCCATCAACCTTCAGCAACCACTTGCCAAGTGGTCAGGGAATACATGACTGGCAGATGGTTGCCGGCTGGTCTCTTGGGCTCTGTGCTAAAGCCTTAGCTTGCGAAAAGCAGCCTATTTTTTTTCAGGCATTGATCTTAGAGGCACTAATTGCTGTGTATAATTAACAGAGTACTGCTCAGTCAAAATGCATGCATTGCTGTATTTAAATTATGAGTAAACAATGATGGTGTCAGTGTGCTAGTTTATTCCACAGCATTGTTTTAATTGGCAGCGCTAAAATATGCTTAATTTGTCCAGAATGAACATTAAATGAAAATAATAAGGTATTTCAACCCTTTGCAGCTGGATTGTGATGAAGATTCGCCCAACTTTGATGAAGATGGACGAGATGAGTACAATGAGATCCACATGCTTGTATAAATTTAAGCTGGAACCAGCTAAAAGGATCGCCTACACCCTGCAGGTCTGACCGATCGGAGGAAGCAAACCTTGGAAACCTCATTGTCTCTGGATAGCAAGAGGAGCTTCTGCAATGGTGTTTGTAAAATATACAGAATCTATAGCTGGATAAGCACTTTTTACCTTTATTTAATCCATTTTTTTAAAAGCACATCTAATGTTAGATCTTTGTGGTGGTGTCGATGTCTTAACCCTGACAGAAATAGCTCTGAATGCATACCTGAAGTGGACTATACCAAATCTAGCAGCATACATAACTTATATGAACTCTTTTTACCTGATGTCTCCCTTTAATTAGTCTGCAGGTTCTGGGCATAAGTGCAATGATAGTGGGGACCTTTAGGACTGCAGCAGGCTTGATTAATTCAGGCTTATTTTGGGACTGATCTGTGAGAAAGGAAAGATTTTCTTTAATGAGGAGAGGATTTCAATCAAACTTAATAATGTTTTCAGATGAACTTTCTCTAAATGTAAAGCCTTCAATTGGTTTTACTGCCTCTGTTGTTAAACTGCCTTTTTCCTTTGTATTACTGCCTTTGTCTATAGGTTGCAATGGTGTGCAAACAAGGAGTTAAGTCAGTCCTTTTCCTTTCTGTACAGACTTGTAGGAAAAAAAGGTCACGTTTCTCTGCCAACCCAGCTCCCTGGCACAAGTCCTCATCTCTAAATGTAGTCTCCCGTGAATCCAAAATCCCCTAGAGACTGTGCCTCTTCATGGGCTGCCACTGTACTTTTTTTAAGGTGATTAATGCCCTCCACTGATCCCATTATTATGACCTTGGATGTATAAGTAAATAGCTAACATGGTCTAAACCTATTTTTCTACTTTGTTGTATCTATTTATTTTGTGACCTTTTGGACTTAACGCTATACCATGTTCTTAGTGGTATTTAGATTTCGGATAGCTTAAGCTACTGTTAGAGTTAGTGTAAAATATAAAGAACATTGTGTAGAGTGACACGTTAAAAACAGAAAAATGTGTCTTTATTTGAAGTATCTGTCAGTTTTTTGCTAAATTTGGTATATTTTTTAAGAGATGTCATGAATAATGCACTTGGCTAACACAGACACGATAGTACTGAAAATGTTGGGGAGCATTTAAACATTTGCAGGATGCATGAAGGTTGCATTGCACAGACTGACTGTGAGCTTGGGATTGTAATTTACCATCTATTTTTAGAGTTATCCTATATTGCAACGGACACCTGCTGCTTCAATAGGTACACCTGTTCATCTCTTTGTTATCGCAAATCTAATCAGTCAATCGTACTGCAGCAACTGCAGTAATGTATGTATGCATATAGACAGGTCAAGATGACTTCTTGAAATTTGTCCAAGCATCACATTTGGGAAGAAAGGTGTTTTTAAGTGACTTTAAATGTGACATGGTAGTCGGTGATAGGCAGTCTGGTCCGAGTATTTCCGAAACTGCTGATTTGCTAGGATTTTCCCACAAAACCATCTCAAGGGTTTACACAGAATGGTCTGAAAAAGACCATTCTGTTCTCTTTCTGGGTGAAAATGCATAGCTGATGCCAGAGGTCAGAGGAGATTCTGCTTTGAGCTGATAGGAAGGCAGCAGTAGCTAAATTAACTGCTCATTGCAGCCAAGGTATGCAGAAGAACATCTTGGAATGAACAGCATATTGAACCTTGAATCGGATGAGCTACAACAGCAGAAGACCAAAAACCTCAAAATCCCTCCGCCAGATCTCAAAAGGGGGTCCAACCTGGTACTACCTAAGGTGTACCTAATAAAGTGTAGTTTTGACACATGCACATTTTCAGAAGCCTTTCTTATTTCATGCTACACAGAAACACATAACAGCTGCTGTACATAAAACAACAAAAAGATAAAACTAATTCATTAATTAGTGTTGGAAATTGGTGTGATTTTACTATATTTGGCTCAATGGTCCATTTACGGTCAGCAATTAAAAGCTTAGGAACTGAAAGAAGAAGCTTCACATTTAGATGTTTTGAGGATATTCACTGTCTGGTTCACCAAACATTAGGATTATAAAGTTTATTCGTATTGATTTAAAATAGACGGGAGTTGTTGAATACAACAAAAAAAGTGAGCACATTGGGTTCTGGTCTTTTTCCATGTTTGCATTCGGTGGCTCCCTTGCTTTCATCACTGACACACTCGGGAAGCGTCAGCTGAGTCCTGGGGATTCTAACTGGGTGGATATCTGCAGAAAGTCAGCAATTGTCTGCTGTTTTTTCTTACAATATCTTGATGGCACACTCTTTGATCACATTCAGTGAAAGTGGAAAAGAACAGCAGAGATGATTGAACCCAAACCCAAATTCCTCACTCTGGGGGATGCTTGGCAAAAAGGTTAATTCAACATGAAAGTCTGTTTCTTTGCACTGTTACTACCAAAATGTATCTACTGCTAACATTTAGTCTATGAACCTTTTAAAAGAAAACAGTGCATAGTAAGTTAGGAGAGAGAGAGACTGCTTGGCAGCTGAAGAGGTTTCTATAAATTACTGGCAAACAAGGCCAAAACCCCACTATAAACATACTTTAAATGGTCAGCAATGTACTGTTATTCATCTTATTTCACATAACCATGCCCTATATTATGAGCCATGCAAAGATTCAGTCTCAGGGGAAACTGACCTTTGATCTGTAAATATTGCTCCCCAGCCTTTAGTTTGTTGCCTCTTTGTGTAAATAAAGCGGTCAAGGCAATCCGGCGCTTGCTATGTAAAAATCTATGGCTTACAGTCCCGGCTTTTATGTTGTACAATGTAGGAAAAAGAGGTCAAGTGCGTAGAATTATGTGTTTACTCCAGTGAAGTGACATAGAAGTTTAACGGTAAATGAATCTCTCTTTCCCCCCTAGATTGTTCTCTGTAGGCCTGCACTTGAAGCTCCACTTTGATGTGAAGCGTACACCTGCTGCAGTCTGTATTTAATTCTGCAGCTCCCCGAGTTAATGAGTAACACAATGTGCTTTGAATTAGCACTCTGTAGCAGTTTCATTTAAAATGGGCTGCGTTATTAATGGACCTTTTCAACCATGTGTTTATGTTTCAGGAGTTTACAGAGACTGGAATGGCAAACTGAGGGCAGAGACAGTGAGGTATTTTCTTCATTATACCCACCCCTATCCGTATTCGTGACATTATTGAATGTTTGCCTCTGACTGAGTGTGTTTTTAGGGGCAGGAACTTGATTTATGGAAGTTTACTAATGACACAACTATGAGTGGTCACCATGTTAGAAAGCGCACTGCCAAATAATTTTGCAAAAAAAATGAAAAAACTATTTTTGTTGTTGATGTTTTGGGGGGTTTTTTTTAACTCTTTTTTTTTTTTTTTTGTGTGACATTTATGTATTTTTTGTAACCTAGAATTATTCTAATATTGTATAAATTTAAAAAGTGTAAACTCTAGATTGCCCTGAGTAAGCAAGCATCCCTCATATTTTCTGCCTTACAGACAATTTTTTCAGTTTGTATTCATCTCATTTACAAGGACGACAGTTCATTTGAAATAATGAATACTGAAAAGAAATTTAGCAAGCAGCATTTGGATGGTATTGTGGCAAAAACAATGTGTAATGACCATTTTTAAACACCACGGCCAACCAAAGAATTATTGCTTCCTATGTCCATTTCTTTATAACCCCAATGTCCCAATCTTCCGCTGGCTTCTTCCAGCAGGCTAACACACCATGTCACAAAGCTCAAGTGATCTTAAACTAGAGTTCAGCTATCACTCTAATTGAGCACCTTTGGGATGCAGTGCAATGGGAGATGGTAGATGTGCAGCCAACAAATCTGCAGTAACTGTGCAAAGCTATGCTATCATGTCAGTCTGAACCAAAAATCTCAGAGGAATGTTTCCACCACCTAATTGAATCTGTGCAATGAAAGATTAGGCCAGCTCTGAAGGCAAAATTGGGTCCAACCTGTTAATAGCAAGGTGTACCTAATGAAGTGACCAGTAAGTGTATAGTTTTATTTAGAAAATGAAAAGCATTTATAAATCTTTTCAGGCAGACTAACATTGTTTAATAGTTTGTTGAAAGCTTACATTTGTTCTATGTCTAATAGTTTTGTCAATATTTAACTTCCATACCTAAAAAGCACACACTAATGTTAGTTGTACACAGAGCACTAAGTGCATTACTATGAGAGACTAAGAGTAGATGCTGTACAGCCAGCTGTGAGTGGCTGAGAACATGAGAATCAAAAGGGGGGTAAAGATTTTATTTTTTAAAGTAAAATGCCTTGTTGGTGCCATTAATAACTAAATATGCAGTGAAAGCTTTGATAGTTCATTTTTTAGCCAAAGTTGTTGTTTGTCAACAATGCTGTGCTGATTCGACCTGTGATGGTGAAAGAGGCTCTGAGGTGTATGCCCGATACAAGTGTGTGTGTGTGTGTGACACGAGCTGCTGTGTCTGTGGAGCCCACAGCCTAAAAAGAACCAGCAAACTTACCAAAACATCCTTTCAGTATTTACACAAGAGAAAAAGTGGAATTGTGGGTATTATTAAGATAAGAAAAGGTGTGGCGCTGCCTCTTGGTCCTGTCTGGTGTTGGATGTCAGAACACACGAGATGTAAAGAAAAATCGTTCTGGTCTTTCTGACCCTTAAAGAAAATTCTGTCATGTCAACGTTCTCACGTCACCTCATTTCGTCACCTTATGCCTCAGTGGTAGCAGGCCAGGCCACCCACCCAATTCTAAGACTTAGCTCTGTTATTTTTGAACCAAGACTAATCCACTGTCATCAGCTTGAGTGAAGACATCTGACAAGCTTGGGTCTTTAGCATATTGAATAGTGTACTCGGTTTGACTATATATAACGATAAATCAGATACATGTGAAACGAGATTAACTGCTACAAGGAAATGCAGTAATACTGATATTTTCTTAAGAGCAACAGAAATATGGTGGATGCTGAAGGAATGCCACTAATTTTTTTTCTTCTGTCTTTGGTATCAGATTTTCCTCATCTCCTGCTGTAAATTAAATACTATCTCCAGTATTATCCTTTTTTAATCTTCCTTTTTGTGGATAGTATTTTTTTATTCATAGAATAATAATACGTTCAGTTCAGTTCAGTGAGAAACACCTATGATTTTTAAGATTATACTATTTGTTTATGCTGAAGTCACACTAGGGAAAACTAAATGAACCAGGTCTGGAAACCACTCACAGTCAGTTGTACTCTTCAAAGCAAATTTACTGAGTCCAGACGGTGATAAAAGAGCACTAAGACAGAGTGAGTAGGATGTGGTTTTACCTGTGCAAAATGACGCAAGCACTCTGCAGCCTTGTTTTTAATAGAGGAATGTAATCGGGATACAAGCAGCCGGCAACCACTTGAGTCGAGTCCCGTATTGCAAGGAGTTGTCACAGTCGAGTTGCACTCATCTGCACAGACCGACTCTTTCTGTGCTTACAAAATACGCAATGATTATTTGAAAACCTTTGCCAGTCTGAGAGTGATTACAGTGAGTCCCATTCCCACCACGAATAAGTTGTCTCCACTTGGCAACCTGTGCAACTGCCTTCCAGTTGAAAGTGGTCGCCCAGAGGTTGAGGGCGTCACCCACTCAACCTCTGGGTGACCAGTTGGTCGACACCAGTAGTTGCACTTGGTCTTTGACAGCAACAAAGTTCCATGAAAACACATCAACCACCAGTTTTTTTTTTTTAATCATAAGGACTGTTTTTACTCTAGTGTGACTGATCCACGAAAGACAAAACGACTATACGTTTCTCCCAGCACGGTGTAAGCTGCATTTAGCAAGGTTTTAATAAGAGCCAGACCAAAGAACTCTACAACACACAACAGCTAGCGAGTCTCATGATCAGCGGGGTCAGCAGTTAATTGGGACTCCCTGTTATGCACAAGGTGTGTTTTTGGTGGCAAGATTACCTGCTGACAATTAATGGTCCCGTTTTAGAGACCCACATTAGCAAATTTCGCTTAAATCTGCTTATTAGAGTTAGGCGCTACTTGGTAACTTTACCTGCATGTTGGGGAACAAGGAGTTTGAAGTGGCACTTATTTAATTAACCGGGTGCATCAGGTAACAAATACCAAAAAACACCTTGTGCATAAATGATGCTAGAGTCTTATTAGACATAATATCACCAATTGGCACTCCTGGATCTGAACAGTCTCTAGTTTACCCACCGATTCTTGAGAAAATTCCCCTTTGGCTTAAAAAATTCAACTTGCTTTCTGTTTTTTTGCTGGGCAACTGATCCTCAGTCAGATTAAGAACGCTAGCATCCTTTGCAGATTACAAGGAACCATAAAATTGTTCAAGTATTGAAATCCCCCCAAAACACCTAATGGATCTTTACATTGTTTTACTGACACAGTTTTCTGCATGAGCTCTGCACAACAGTCCTTTTAAGTAGTAATTGGATGAAAAAATAATTAAATGCAGTATGTTTGCATCTGTAGATGACACTTAGGTCATGTGAATACTTTAATAGCAGGTCTGTCTTGCTATGGCTACAAAGAGGTTTTCAAAAAACTGTAAAGCATTATTTTTTTGTCTGAAATAAATATTTATTATGTGTTTCAAATACAAATGGTATTGTTTTTATTTCTGTCAACATAAAAATGATTACAGTATAAACCAGATTACTTCTGCCACACATGGAAGAATAATGGAAGTGAAGAACATTCATTAGGTAAGTGCTCAGTGTATGTTCATTTTACAGACTGTATAATGTGATAAATATGTACTGTATATTTACCAAACAAGTCACAGAGAAATACAGTGTTTGACCTTTGCAGGGAAAAATCACTACAACAATAAAATGGTTACATTTTCATAGATTTCCTCCAGTTGTGTTCATATTTGTTTATGGAGGGTAATATTCAAAACAATGTTATTTTTTAAATAGTAAAATATCTCCTATAATTTTACAGTTGGATGACAAAATCCTGTAAAATGTTGTTTTCTGTGCATTATGGTTTTGGAACTCAAACATAAAAAACATAGCTTTGTAGATTTAGCCAATGTCCCCCTCAAGACTGCCTTTGTGGGACCTCGGGACGGCTTCCAGCACTTGTAATTAGTCTGGCTCACTCTATACAGGTCATAATGATGATTTATAAAACGAAAAAACATTTTAGAAATACAATTTTTGGTGAAAAAAATAAAAACTGTTCAAGTGCAGAGGCAGCACATAAGGTCAAGAGTGTCTTTTGTAAAAATCTGAGGTGTCTCATGAGAGCATTTGTCAAAAAGGACCTGACCTGTAGTGGATGCTTTGTGTGCTGACACTATGAAAGCCACATACCAACACTATGATGGTGACTGGAGATAATGTCAGTCACTAGTCACTAGATGTTGTTCTCTGACATTCTTCTCGAAATATTAAATTTAAGGCTGGAAGTGTTGTTGTTTTAACAAAAGGGAGGACATACAAGTGATCAGAGGAGGAGTTCCAGAGAGAGATCGGAAAACAGCCAGAGCGCTGGAAATGGTGCAGAGGTGCACAGGGATCCTGAAGGGGACAGGGGAATATTTAAAACAGGTGAGATTTTTGCTTTGTTCCACCAAATGTGACCTTTGGGGGATTTGCAGTCATTGTTGCTCAATTTACGACACCCGTTTATAAGCTCCCCTGCAATTTGTCTGCTTGGATAAATACATTTAGGTCCAAAAGAGTCTCAGTTGTACAGTTGTCCTCTCCGTTGCAGTCTTTTGGATCATGAAACTCTTTGTGAACAGCCCAAGATACTTATCCAACCAAACTTAAGTAGTCAGGCGTTTTCACTACTTCATTGAATAGAAAATGTATTTTCTGATTTATGTAAAATGATTCTTTATTAGCTTGAAGTGTCTTCTTCCAGGATGAATTTCCTGAATCTCTGCAACAGAGGTAGCAAGCACAGTTAGCACTGTCAGAACACTGGCTAAAAAAATATTCCAATTTTCCTTCGCTGGGTATTTATGTGTCCCTGGGGGCGATGTGAACACACAGAAGAGGCAGAAAAAGTGTGACAATAATACACGGTGCTATTAACATGATGAGAGTGAAGAGTGGGGGGTCACGAACGTATCCACATAGCGAAAAGTACGTCTGGTGGACCTCCAAGTAAATCTCATCTACCAAAAATCCATAACCCCAACACCGAGTTTTCTTAGCCCAGTCTTCCACACATGTCATCAATTTGTTGTAGTTGCTGCAGAGAAAGAGAGTGAGACTAAAGTCAAGGTGACCCAAAATTACTCAGGCGGTAAAGAATTTCACTTGTAACATTTTTAGGGTGTGTGAAATATGTGCAGCATGAATCTGTAGGCTGAGAATCAGATTCCACGTCAGCACATTCGACATTATTCATACATGTAGCTTTAAGAGTTGGGCCTTAGTCTGCTCGGTGAATCCTTGGAAACCACAAGTCACTAGGGAAAAAGTTATTTTCCACGATTGCAGATTGCTGCAGTCGCCTGTAGCTTTCATAAAACACGCCACCTTTTCATAAAAAGGTTCACTGCTGCTCAGTAGTTGGTAAGTATTTGCACACAAGTCTGTGTCTTCCATGCAAACGGCAGGCAATGGCAACAATCTGCTAGTGACCAAAGTAATCACATGGAAGTTTTTGGTGCAGTAGCATTTTTGCAACCATTTTCACCTAGCGACTAGCAGAGGGATACACATTGTGGTTGTCAGAGGGTCACCGATCAGTCTCTCCACCTGGGTGACTGAGGCCTTAACATTTCAGCTTCCTGTTTCCCGTTTAGCTAACAGTATTGCCAGGCAACAGAGCTGTTATGTGTGTTCTACTGACCACAACACACCCAACTGTCTGCAAACAGACCTTCATTTCATGGGATAACTGAGTAAAGACTTATTAATAAATTAAAAGATCAGGTATGCATGAATTATTTATTTGGCATCATCAGGACAGACCAACCCTCTTTCAGAACCCACCATTAATGCATTTTAAATGGGTCATCAGCACATTTTCATTTATCATTAGGGGAAAATCAGCCATAAGATACCAAATAATATAAACATTGTTTATTTCTTGCAAATGCACTATTAAAATATCCTGATGCCAGTGAAATGTACAGGTGCACTGGTTCAAAAAATGGGAACACATGACTGTGCTGAGTAGGATGTAGCATGAACAAACAACAGCAGATGAATAGAAGCCATGCTTTTTGCCTCAGTTCACCTGGCATGATCATAGATCCATGTCACACAGTTGCATTGCACTTATAGGCGCCTTGTTTATAGGCGCACAAAGCCAAAAACATCAACAGCCTGAGTGTCTTCAAGATTTTTATAAATGGAGAAATCACCCGCTGATGTTTAGGCAGCAGCTTACATTTCAAGTTTAAGCATTAATTTGTCACGTCCTCGGGGCAGAGAAGCAACCGTAGCCTCTCTAAACAAACATAAATCTCGCAACCAGATGTCGCTGCAAAATTTTAGTGTGGAAAAATTCCACCGAGGCTCAATTGAACCTGACAGCCAGAAGCCTGCTCAACAAGCAAGGCTCCTTGTGACGATGGACACTCCACCCTTACACACCATTTAAACTCTACGGTACCTCATCTCCCAAATTATGCTGACAGTAAAATATGGATTATTACAGTCATAATTAAAGTCCACTGCCATCCACTCCAGGTAGCACGGCAAAGACTAAAGTCTCCAGAAACAACTGCTGTCTGGAAATATGAGCCCAAGAGCAATGGTCTCACATGTTTTCATTAGAATATGAGTAATTAAAACTTCGACCGGCATCAAATGTAATGAGGAGACTGGAAAGCATCTGATTTTCCCATGACTAAAGGTTATTATACGTCTTTACTGAAAAGGCAGTAAAAAGAAGTGTCTGTATTTCATTGTAGAGTTCAATGAGTGAAAACACAGGAAGGCTGGATCTTTATCCAGCCTTCCTGTGTTTTCACTCATGTTGAGCTCAGCACAGACTCATGCATTAATGCTTGGTTAATCACACACCACTCATTCAAGTCTTGGAAACTCATGGGAGCCTCTTGTCCAGTTAAATATAACTCATTTGTCTCTCTTATATAAACACACAGAAAAAACCCCCCGACAACTTTATATTAGCTAAATTTAAAAAATAAACAAATGAAGAAGAAAAGAAGAGCCTAACATTTACCTTTGAACCATAGGCCACGGGCACATGTTCTGATAGTCACTTGTCTCCATGCTTTTGTTGAAATCCAACAGGCAGTTGTCAACATTGATGTCAAACAGGTCCTCGTTGCATGGTGGACGGACAGCTTCTGCTGTGATTCCTGAAGAAAATGACATTGCACAACATAGGCGAGAGTCAGCACTGCTGACTCAATTCAGGATAGCGCATATTAATGTTAGAAACACCACTGTTTGCCTGTTCATTTTTTTTGTAATAATTTGGATTCAAATTGGCTTTCAGTTAAATGTAATGAAGGGTTCTTGTGAATTAGAAGATGTATCAGGCCTGGATATATCTTGTAATTCCCCAATTTGAAAACATAAACGTAAAAATCTTCCATCTTCAGCTTTTCAGGGTCTCTATATTTATATTTATATTATATTTATAGTTCATGTGGTGTCCATAAAGGAAACTTCATTCACACCCCTTTTTTATATGACAAATAATTCTGTCTTCACTGAATCTTGCAAATATATGCATGCAGATGAAATGAATGAAATATTCTAGCTGAAAATCTTTTCTGATGTTGTGTAATTTGTTGAAAATCACACAAAACAAAAGGTACAACTGCCATATGAGTATAATGATAAATAATATTGCATGCAGTGAATGCTGCTGGTTTAATTGTGCCCCCTTTACTCTTTCACTTTGCAAACTGTAGCCAAATATGTGTTGATAGACCATGCAGTAAAACTGAAATATATTATTAGCTCCATTAGCTCCCTTTGCCCTTCAGTGTGACTCCAACATTGCTACAAGCAGCTACATCTAATGCATGTTTGTGGAGCATATTAACATTATTAGAACTCATTGAACTTCCAGATGCTTTTATTTGTCCCTGTGAGACATCTCCACCCCCAACCCAGCCACCCGAGGTTCTCCTTTGCCGGCCCATTTAAAAAAAAAAACCTGGAAACGCTCCCATTTTCCTGTTGTGAATAACTGCTGTTTTGTCTGTCTTGATACATTTAGCTATAAAAACTTAAAAAAAAAAGATTCCTCTAACCCAAATATACCTTTTAAGTTCTCATTTTTGGTCTGCAATGATTGTGTGATTGACTACACTTACCTGCGCAGATGAAGAAGATTGCCAGCAGGTAAGCAGTCAGCATGATCTATTAAAAGATTGTTATGAGAATTCATTAATACACCGAACAACCACTGGTTTACATCCTCAGCATGCACAGAGTGCAGGTGTTTTCAAACTTCCTTGATGGAGCCATCTGCACCAGCGTGACACTTTTCACTTTTTTTGCAGCAAAGTCTCCGACCACCTTGGCTCCTTCACGTTATCAGGCACCTTTACACAGACCAACAGTCTTGTTGTCTCTGGCTCGTATCGAGTCCCCTGAGGAAGTCCAAGTTGTGAAAGAAGGGGTATTTGGTTACACGGTTCCTGTGTAGCTTACTTGCAGCTTCTGAAGATCACACAGTGGCTTAAGGGCTGTTGACAGCACTCATAAGACAGGTAGTGTTCCTGACACTGCAGTGGTTTTGACATTTTTTAGGTGGTGGGTCATCTACACTTGTTAGTTGTGGTTTGCTTCTGATAAGTGATCCATTTCCTTTCTCCCACATTTTGTTTTCCTCCCCGCTGTCTGTCAGGGCCTTGGGGTCACGGTCCCATAAATCCCACCATTCAGCAACTGTGCAAACAGACTGGGTTTTCCTTTTCAACGTTTTTTACGAGATTATTTTTTAGGACCAATTTGCTTCATGCAGGTGAAATGACTGCTGACAAAGTAGTGATAAGCTAAAATAACATTAATAATGCAAGATGGTTTTCAAATGGGGATTTTGTAACAATGTGCCTACTGTGCATGTGTGTTTTTGCTAGTAGGGATAGTCAGATCACTCCTCAGCTCCCTACAAACCTAAATTCTCCATTCTGTTTTTATTCTGTTAATTTGTCTTGTTGAGCTTTACAAAATGACACTTTCTCCAGTTTTGTTTTCTCTGCTTCCTCCCCTCACTGGAGTGTTAATTCCTTGAAATGCACATAATGGTTTCCACATTTGACATTTCTTGTATTTTCTAGTTATGATGCACAATAACAAAGACAAAGAAAAGAGACCCTTTCCTATTTTGTCAGTCTGCATTTAAAAGGTAGATATACATTTAACATTTAAGGTTCCAACTTTCACCTCAATCCCAAGCATACACCTTGAAAGAAAAAAGGATGTGTATGAAGACATGATGTCCATCTGCTTCCTGGACATTCCCACAAACTAATGAATTTATCTCGTGGGAGGAAAAAGTGAAAACAGATGTTGCCATGGAATGTTGAAAAGCATTTTCTTCTCTTTGTATTTTCCTCTCTTATGTGCACGTGATGTTTGTCCCTCTATAAAAGCACATATACTGTCAGTGATGTAAATGCACGAATTGTTATATTGCAGTTGGTTTTACAACCTATGCGGCGATCCATCCAGCCAACACTTGTAAATCATTTTACGAAACCCAAAACCTATAAAGATAAAAAGTTCTACAGTCACGTACCTCTGTTGTTAACCAGCTGTCGTAGATCCCTGGTGAAAGCGGAACCTGTTGAAGATGCTGCCGATTGTTTACCAGCCAGCTATTAGACGCACGACTTCTCACACAAAGCTTCTGTAGTGATCTGGTGCTGTTTCTTATCGGTGGAACTCGGAGCTAATTGGATTGTGCAACAGAAATGAACAGCCTGCTCCCTTTCCCAGACCAAGCCTGCCTGTTCCCATGCTACCCAAAGGCGTGTTCCAGTCAGAGCCCCCCTAGAGAGACTTTAGCAAAACTCTAAGAGTCAAGAAGCCAGCGCACAGGCACCACAGACACATATTTAACGTAAATGTTTATGCTTTGTGTTAAATCATATTCTTATCCAGCTTCCCAGCAGTGGAAGATGGGGTGGGGTAGGAATTAAGGGGTGGGTTTGTGTGTGCAAAGTCAGCACACACAAACTGAAAGAGACTCACAATCAGAGGAAATTTGTTATTTCCAACTCCAACACACCCCAAGCTTTATGCTTGGGATCTGTTAGTTTTAACTCTGCTTAGAGCTGCCTTTAGATCCCCAATCTAGAGCCAAATTTATAGTTTACCTCTGCTATTTCAAAATGGTTCCTACATTATGTTTTTATGAAGACCCTGATGAAGGCCACAATGCTCAACGCTTCAGTAAAACAGTAACGCTGCTTTATATACCACTAAGTGTTCTACACTCTTCAGACTTTCCTCTCCTTGGCATCTTGGAAGCAGGTGAAGTTCATCCCTGCACTGTCTCTGTTTTTTTTTATTTTTCTTCCCATAAAATTACCCCAACTTTTCCAGCATAATGCTACGTAACGTGTTCAGTGCTCAAACCTGTTGAAATATAAGCTGGTTCTCAAAAGGCAGCAAGACAGAACTGGCTGCACACCACGTGATGATTAAATGGAAAAGAAGTATGAGAACCCTGCACTGGCAAGACATACATCTTCACAGATGCAACCAGAAACTTGGCTTTGCTTATATAGAGCATTTACTGGAGGCCTGTCTTAAAATCAAAGTTTCTTGGATGAGAGGTGAAACATCTTTAAGTAACTTAAAGAAGTCCAGACGCTTTTCTTTCCAAGCTCCTTAGACTGTCTTAAACGTAGCTACTTTTCTCCCAAATTCAAGGATGGCTGTTAGCTTTGATCCCTGGATCCTCCAGCCTGTGTGTCAAAGGGTCTTGAGGCTACTGTCGTTTTGGTTGTTTGTATACAAATAAAAGTTAATTGAGTAAGATTGTGAAATTCAATATGCATTCACTGCTTCCATTAGCGAGCAATCAATAAAAACGGTATTAACAGCATGAAGTACCTTGCTTTGGGCTTTGAGTAATGATGAAAAAGGCTTCATAAATTCCAGTCCATTTACAAAGATATTGGTTGTATCATATAACCGACAATATCAAAACGACAGTGGCAGGTAATTTTGTGTTGCTTTTGCACACAGAACTGTCTTCTGTACTGCGTGGTGCTGTAGACTCTAGAAACCCCCATACATCAAAAAATTGTTAAATGCATGATTAGTGGGATTCAATAAATGTGGTACAAAAGTTAAACAGAATTTCATTGCATATATAACAATCATATTTAAAGTGAAATATAACTATTGTGTCAATAATGAGAATAAATTGTAGTAATTTTGTCAATAATACTTTTGGAATGAAGGGGTGGAATGGTGGCCATCATCTGATATTTTGAGAACAACTTTTCACGACCTAATTTTTGGCAGAATTGATTTTGATACTATCTTAGTAGACTGTTGTTATCAGGCTACTAGATGCTATGGAGAATTCAGCTGTATGGCAAATCCTTTACCTGCATCTGGAGGATGATTTTTGCAAGAGAATCCTCTAAATCTGATCAAGGGTAAGGCATAGATGGCGCCAGTGACCATCTTTCTCTTGGAAGGAGGCAGCTAGCAGGCATGGCTAATCTTGCCCCTTGGAGCAACTTACCCCAGTCTCTCCCTTCTTCTCCCAGGACTGCCTGGGGAATGTAACAATGCCCCAAAACAGAGTCCACTAAATCCAAAGGATCAACTGCCAGCATCCCAGTGCTCGACACCATGCGACACCCCCAGAGATCTTGGGTCCTGTCCATGACCTGAAGAACTCAGAGATGTTTTGGCAGCACAAAACGGCCCAACACATTAGGGTTTTAATGTTTTGGCTGATGAAAATTTGCAGCATATAAAAAGATCATTAAAAGTGATGTTAACATGTTTAGCTTTGCTAGAATAATTGAAAAAGGAGGATTGTAGGATTTTATTGTCAGTACTGGAGCAAAAGTGTATGAATGCCTATTACACAGTCACACATGATGTAATGGTGGCTTAACACACTGTCATGTGTGGAGCGTATGTTGCACCTCTTGGAGACAGGGCATGGGAAATTTCTCGCCTATGACATGAGAAAGATATTTCCTCTTCTTTGACTGACCCAAGGATGCTAGTTAGGGCTTCCAGGCCTGCGTTGCAGCTCCAGCGTGACGTCAGTGTCGCTCCTTGTGTAACATGCTTCAACTTAGCTGGTCTGGGTGTATGAAGTAATGTCTGTCAGGGCCTTCTATCCTGGAACAAAGCATTCACTGTCGGACCAGTAGTTGAAAGAAATGCTACTGGCCTGTCAAATAGATCATGTAAGTTGAGAGATAAGATATGAAATATCAAACTGAAATATTTTGGTGTCTAGGTTACAGAAAGTCTAATGTCACTACGTCATCACCGGCTTGTATGTAAAACACATTTGAGCTTCATATTAACACTATTGGTAATAAAATAGTTTGGCTTTTGATTAAAGCCACAAAGTGTGGAATAGCTTTGACTTTGAAGCCCCTCTGAGGTAATGTAACAGAACCTTCGTGGCAAACAACGCAGGGAATTACTCTGAAACCCTGATGAGAACATTTCCAATTTTATGGCCTGAATTACAATATGAAGAGGGACAACCACACCCCGCTTGCATTACAAGGGTCTTGCGATTTCTTTTTCAACCATCGTGCATGCTGCATGGTGGTACTAGGTTTCACTTAACAGCTGGTATATCAAATATTCTTTGTTTGAAATTGCCAGCCACTCTGTCCAAGTACATTTTAGTACTGATATTTTCTAATTCACTTTAAAGTAGAGATGGCACGATACCACTTTTTTATGTCCGATACCGATACCGATATCATAAATTTGGATATCTGCCGATACCGATATGAATCCGATATAATGTTTTTTAATCAACAAAACTGTTTTTTTAAATATCTTGCTGCATTTTGTATAAATTCATACTCAAGTTTAAAACAACAACTACACTAAAGCTATTCTGTTATACCTGTATGCAAAAAAAAAAAAAATTTCATAGTTCAGCAATACTGATCAATCTAATAAACTTAAACCTACACCATCCTCCCTATTCTGGTATTTTAAAGAGTACTTAGCGTAAATATTAAGCAACCTAACTAATAGGGTTCCAACTCCCAGCAACAACAAAAATAAATAAATAAAAAATAGGGAACCACCCCTCACACTCCACCTCATGATGCTTAATCAACGTAATCAACCTTAATTTGATGCAGTGTGAAAAACAATGCACAGAAATCAATTATTTTTCAAGAATAATTAAATAGATTCAACATCTTTCTTCAACAAAATTGCAGACTGCACAGATGGTACCTTCCCAAAGGAAAAAGTACTATAGCTTACTAGGGTATATATATTAGACTTAATAGTCACTATATACAGTAATTGACTTCTATTCATTTTACATCAGATTAAAACTTTGGGTGTAAGATTCGGATAATTATTTATTAAAAGCTCGACATTTTAAATGAGAATAAGAAGAAAAGTATGTCTTTGTGCCCCCTTTTCCCTGTTCATGCCCTATCGGCCCCCCTGGCTAAACTTTGCTAGATCCGCCCCTGCACAGTTACCAGCGTCAGCTACGTAGAAAAAGATCCTGGAGTAGAAAGTAATATTAAATAAATTCTAACAACAGCTTATCAAGCTTAAACGTGCTGCTGTTGTCTATCCGCTGGTTTCCTCTTTCTGGTGCAAAGTGGGCCAAAAACAAACAAGACAGACGGACTCGCGACAGAAAAGCCGATCAGCTGATCGTTAAGCAGTTTCATGATTGAAGTAGCAGCAAGAAGAGGCAGTCGCTTGTTAAGCTTAACGCAGGAATGCTTTACAAACATTCAGAGATGGACTTACACACTTGCTTTACTTCTCTCGGGGATAACTTTGTCGGAGATGAAATGCCGGGTTGCTAGCGAAGCTCCACATGCTATCCAGACCACCGACAGGTCCCGCATGCCACAGCCGCTCTATCACGTGATGCATACTGCTCCGACGTGCTAAAGTTCTGAGGTGAGTTACGGCGTGTTGCAAGTTTTGTGAGGTGCTTTCGTGATATTTAATGGATCGGATTACATTTTTTATTTTTCTCCGATATCCGATCCAGTAATTTAGGTCAGTATCGGACCGATACCGATATGTAATATCGGATCGGTCCATCTCTACTTTAAAGCACATCTGAGCAAATATCTTAGAGCTGCACATCCATGATGTGAATCTACACGTTCTACGACATCCCAAAGTTTCTCTGTTGGACTCATTACAGTGAAGATGACTTGAGTTCAGTGAACTCATTGTCATGTTCAAGCAACCAGTTTGAGCTCTGGTGCATTATCCTGGAAGCAGCCATCAGAAGATGGTAGTGTCTGGGATTTAACTGATGCTAGTACTTCATTACACATCACTCTGAACTCTTGATAAAAGGCAAAGTCGATCCATGTTTTGATCTGTTTACATGAATTCTGCCCTGCCATCCAAATGTTGCAGAAGAAACTGAGACTACTCAGACCAGGCAACATTTTTTCCAATCTCATGTTGTCCAATTTTAGTTAGGCAGTGTGAATTGTAACCTCAGTTTCCTGTTCTTAGCTGACCAAAGTGCCGCCCGGTGTGGTTTCCTGCTGTTTTTCTGCGAGATAGGAAGGCAGCTGGGTGAAATTACTTTTCTGGCATCAACAAGTCATTTCACCCAGAGAAATACCTCTCACTGTTATTTTCTCTTTTTCAGAGAGTTTCTGAAATACTCTGACCGTCCCGTCTGGCCACATTTAAAGTCACTTAAATCACCTTTCTTTGCCATTGCTCAATTTTAACTTCAGCAGGTGGTCTTAAACACATCTACATGCCTAAATACTAGGGGTGCAACGATACTCGTATTGATATTGAACCGTTCGATACAGTGCTTTCGGTACATATATGTATCGAACAATA